TGATTGGGTTTTTGGAGACGAGTCGCTGAAGTGAGTAACCATGTCTGCAGACAGCAGAGCCCGGGGGTATTTATGCTCTTGGTTAGATTTACTGGTTAGGGTTTCAGTTCCAGTTGCGAACCACATGAAATAATCCTCGGTCACTGGAGAAGGATGTGGACACTGTGCTAATTATGTGAGATGATGATGTCAGGTATTGATACCTTCTAGTGAGCCAGAACTTTTCCCTCTGTGCCCCGTTCCAACGTATATAACCGCACTGTGGTGGCCACACTCGCCATGCGACCACACTCGCATCCACATGTCGGACATGTCTGGATCCTCGGCAGCCCTCACACATCCGCACTGTCAGGCAGGCGCTCACTTTATCATTCATAGTTGTAAATCATCGCTTTGCCTGCAGGAAACGCGCAGCATTTTATTTTCCAGTCATAAACCATAAAACCTGCCTCTAACACGAGTTATGATCCTTGGAGACAGAGAGGATGAATGTCTAAAGCAGAACCAGACACGATGGCGGGCATCCTTCATCCCCCTTCTCTCTCTGTTTTTTTTCTTTCTGCCTGGCATCCCCACATGATCATGGTCATATGGTGGATTTTCTAAAAAAGCCCCAACACGATCTAAATGTCACCAGAGTTGTAAGTCACTCAGCCGTGAACTGGATCATTGTGACTGCTCTGAATTACCAGTCCATTAGTTCTCAATTAACACTCGCCTGATAAAGTTTTAACAGCCCTTCATCTGACACAGTGAGCACATAGAGCTCCTTCATGCCCGGATTCAGGCGAAGATGGGGCCCCTGCCCAAATTTTTGAAATTTTATTGCCTGGCTGAAACCTATGGAAAAGGCCTGTTTTGCATGAATATTTGGCACCAAGCGGAGGTTTATCCTGTCTTATGTTCTGTACACTCAGTCGTGCTGCAACAGTTTGCCATTTTTTGACAGTTGAGATGGTGTATAATTTGAAACACTGACATGAAGCGAAGGCTTTGGACAAAGAGGCCTTTTGTTTGTGTGTTTGGTCGCTCTCCATGGTCCTGACACTCGCATTTTCACCGTAATTCCTCCTTTTTTTTTTTTTTGTCAGGCGGTGTGGCCAGTATCAAATTGCATAATCTGAACTGGCAGAAGTCATTAAATGTAGGCATTTTAAGGTTTCATAAGTGCACTTTCTTTGAGTTGTGTTTCACTTAGCAGCAAAATGGTTTCATGGAATCGAATGTTTCCAGAGCGGGCTAAAGACACAGGCATGCTTTAATCTAGTGATGAATGGATTCTGGTGCAGGATGTCAGGCTGCCTTACAACCTAGCATGTCTGCGAGGTTCTGGGCTGCTGCCTGGATGCAGCTCGCCTGCCAGTTGATCATTTCTTTTATTACAGGTCAAAAGACAAGTTGTCTTTTACAGGCCCCTCTCTGCGAGGGTGAACAGCTTCTCATATCTGGCTTTCATTTGTGCGGAGGAAAAGCTCGAGACTGCACAGGCGAAATGTGGGGTGCTGGAAGTGCAGCAAATAGTCTCGCTAACATAATAAGTCTGGCTACATGAGGCATGTATGGAGCACCGTATACAGTAGGTGGGCCTCTCACCCCGGTCTCCGTGGTGAAATTATAAAAAAAAAAAAGCCACTAGAGTGCGCCAAAGTACACAGTTATTGTTATCGCGGGGCTGAAAATCTCAAGAGCCCCGAGCAGGGGGGGTGAGCGGGTGGGTGGCTTTAAAATCAGAGCGAATTAAATTCATCGCTGAGCTCCAAGACGATCTTCCTCATCAGATAACTGCGGTTCAGGGAGGTCAAGGCTTCCAGTCGAGAGGCCACGCTGCAGAGCTCATTGCTTTGAGTTTATCCAGGGAAGCAAACGAGAAATCAAGATGCGGCGATTCCTGTTTAAGGGCCGACACACACTCACACACACTCACACACACACACTCAGGCCTGTTAGTGGAGACGGAAACATAGGAAGAGATATACAGCTCTGCGAGCGGTATGAGACCCCTGAGGATCACTTCCCGCCTGAGCTGCTCCTCTGAAACGTTTGTAGAGGTCAAGTAAACAGTTTGTATTGGGCTGTCAGCTGTACGCTCGCTCGAACCGAGTGGTTTTGTCTCCTCATAAACTCTTGTTTGTACTCCTCTCTGCTGATTGCATAATACGAGGAAGGAAAAGCGCAGTCTTTGCTTTGTGCTGCTGCTGCAAAACTACTCGCAACCTGGTATAAAAATCAAGAGTACATCATCGCTGGCATCATGTTCAACCACCAATTTTAGCAGAAAAAAAAAAAAAAAACTCCATATACCAAACCCTCTTTAAATGAGTCTGCTGTCTCTCCCGTGCATGCAGGACATTATGCTAATTTCCCTGGGTGTCTGGGTCCCGCTGCTCCTCCGGAGTTCATTATTATAATTGCTAGACATGGCTGAGAACGCTGAGAATGTGAACCTGAAACCAGCGGGAGCTTTCTTTTTTTTTTCCACGCAATCTATATTCAGGGAAATCCCGAGAATGTTCCCAATCTAAAAAACCTTAAAAAAACACATGGGGATGGTGTAGATCTCCCTCTCTCTCTTTTCTGTGTTTCAACGTGTGTGTGTGTGTGTGTGTGTGTGTGTGTGTGTGTGTGTGTGTGTGTGCACTTAGATTGGCTCTATTATGTCTTGGAATAATGTAAAACAGCTTCTCCTCGGCTCTCCCTGTCTCTGCTCCTGTCTCCATCTCTTTGGTTTTCTCTGCGTACCTTTGAAATGCAGCCATGGCAGTGGCAGTAGTAGTAGTAGAAGAAGTCTGGCCGGGGCGTGCAGGAGGCCCCAGCCTGCCTCAGTCCCCCGTCCAAAGACAATGTTGGTGCAGACGAAGTGGCAGACCAGAGATGACACCATGAAATGTGCTTCCTACGCTCAGCGCGCTCAGAGATGTGCTTGTTAAGCGTTTCGGAGGAGATTAAACGAGTGATGACTGCTAAATGTTCCTGGAGGATCTCAGACAGTTGTGGCGCTGTACGAAAATATAGAAATACTCCGTTTACTTCCAAAGCAAGTATGAGAAGATGTATTTGAAGTATTGAAAGTAAAGGTTTGGAGCCTCTGACTGATATTTTATTATATACACGGATCAGTCACGTTAAATTAAAACCAAACGAGTAACACTGATCATCTTGTTACGCTGCGATGTTCTGCTGGGAAACTTGGCATTCGTGTGGACTTTGACATGTACCAGCCTCTTAAATAGAACCCTCCAATCACAAAAGCAGCTCCTGACAGCAGCAGCTTCTCCCAGCAGGACAATGTGAAGCGCCACATTGCAAGAACTGCTCGAGGAACACGACCTAGAGCTCAGCTTCCAAACCCTCCAATCTAGTCAAGCATCAGTGAGATAAACAAGGTGGATCTACTCCCAACATCTCGGTACCAGACACCACTGGACCATCTCAGAGCTGTTTGACTCACATAAATGCGATCTACGCAATATCATGTAGGGGGTTTTAATGTTTTGGCTGAACTGATCATCTATTAAAAGTTTAATCCAAATGGTGGATATCTAAACCTTTTCAGCCTAAACCTCCGCTATAAACAAGCTCAGCTACACAGCTATATCTTTCCATTCAGTGTGTGTTGCAATATTGGACAACTAGTGGCTTTGTAATGTCACAAATTTATGGTCCTACATCAACGTGTTCACCTCAGATTTAAGGTGAGAAACGTTTCCTCCCTCAGGCACGAAAATGTAAAAACAGCCTTCTGGCGTCAACCCAGTACATCACACATTAAATAACACTCAGCAGAGAAGAGCTGTAGCAGCCAGTAGTGTAATAATGTACTGAAAATACAATAATATATGCATTTAACTTCATCGGAAATGTGATAAAAACCCAATAACGTGATGAAATGTCCCGACTGATTTTGTAATAAAGTGTTTTACATTTTAGGTGGGTCATTTTTGATGCAATAATTTAAACAGATTATGTTTTTTTTCCTCTCTCTGAAATCACGAGGTAGTGTTTTGTAGGAAATCTGTTGTAAAGTGACCTCACAACCTCATGTGACCTGGAATTCTGGACCTATTCAGAACCAGGATCTTGTTGAATGTCCCTGAAAATGTGATTATACTGAGCTCAAAGTCCGCACTTCAATGGAACAATTATTCTTTGACTTCAAATCCAATTCATACAACTCTAAAATTCTATAAAAAATTCACATATTATTGCAGCGTCTGCCAAAATTATTACATTATCGGTTTGATTTAAAAAAAAAAAAAAAAGAAAACGGAAAAGAAAGAAAGAAAGAAAAAGGTCTCGCCTGAAAGGTGCCACATTACCCGTAAAAATGTTATTACAGTATCAATGAGGACATTTTATTACATTATTGGGCTTTATTGCATTTCTGGTCAAGTTAAGTGCACATTTAATTACATTTCCAGCAATTTATTAGATTTTTAAGGCGCTACTGGGACTGTAAATTAATCTAAAGCGCAAGGCTGTCACACTATCAGATTTAATGTGGCCAGAAGTATTCATGGTAATTAAATTATTGCAATATCTGTTGAAAATTTTAAATTTTTCTTACCTTTTTTTTTTTTTTTTTAAATAAACAGAAGAGAAAGAAATATGGGAAAGAGAAGAAGGGAATAACATGCAGCAGAGGTCCGGGTGGGCCGGGAATCGAACCGGGGACCCTGACCTTTCGGGTATTGGCCACAATCTAGAAAATTAAAAAGAAATCTATAAAAATTTGGGTGTGGGTAGAGTTTTGCGTCAACATACTGAGTAGCTTGTTAGCGTCTTTTTTCTGTTTTCTGCTAAGTGCTGCTGGATTATCATATGTGCATTATTAATATCATATCAATATTTTATTTATTATTAGTGAGGTTATTATGATTATTGCTGCTTCGTGACACCTCTACTTAATACCCAGAGTTACATGTGGTCTTTTAAAATCAACATAAAAAACCCCAGAAACTGTGATTTCAGTGCAGAGATGAGATTAAGACGGGAAAAAAAAGTTAAGTTACAAAATTCCTATTTTATTCTTAAAATAAACAAAATGTACAATCACAATGCCAATTTCACTCACTGTTGTCAGGTCTGTTTGTCCCTTTAAAAAACAAAAAGAAAAAAACAAAAAGAAAAACAAAACAAAACAAAACAAAAAACCCCTTATGATCTTTATGAAACGTACCAGCAAAATCTAACAGAGTCTCCATCAGATTCAGTTTCCTGACAAGTGTTCATGAGAAGAAGCATAGCAATAGAAATAACAAGTAAACTTTACATAAGAGCAAAGGTAAAGTACAATTCCTGGATATCATACATGTTGATCATTAAATAATACAAGGTTTGTAATGACAGTTTGTACGCAACATTTGAACCAAAAAAAAAAAGAGTTTGTCTGAGGAAGAAGAAAAAAAAAACAACACAAACAAAAGCAGATGAGGACAGAACGGGATGTCAGTGCTGCGTTGGTGTGTAAACAGTTTCTCCTGTTCGAAGTTTGAAAAGAAAAGAAGGTTAAATAAATTCCAACAGATGTGCATAGTTGCTATGGAGACACTGGATATAATTGTCTTTAGGAAAATGCTATAAAAATCACAACAATCTGAAAGGTTTTTATTTGTTTTCTTACTGTAGCAGCAAAAAAAAAAAAAAACCTTTACTTTTGGGCCGGAGCAGTCGGGGAAATGTAGTGCGACATGTTCAATTCCATTAACCGAGTTCAGAACATCCTCTGCAGAGACTGCGTGCAAACCTTCAATGAAAAGCTTGAAGTCTGATCCTTGGACAGGGCCGTGTTTTTCTCAGCTTTTTCAAATTGGGTTATTATATTACCTACATGCACTGAATATCATATTGTACCAAAAGCAAAAAAAAGAAAAAAGAAAAGCTTTTTTCAAACAAATACCAACTGCCTTGTGAGATCAGATTCAGCTCCAATGTAAATGGCTTGTTTGGCCAAGTGTTATCCATTCTGTGTGTGTAGATGTGGATGTGTGTGTGTGTGTGTGTGCGACTCCAGTGGCGTTATATCTGCACTGAGGACCAAAACCACGAGCCCTGCTGGCAGCCAGCCGCAAGTGCTGCTAGAAATAAAACAAGAAATAAGTGCTCTATGAAACAAACATACACAAGTCTCCCATATTTTTTGGTTCCCAGTTTGCTGCCAGCAGCTGAATCCAATCACGTCGGTTTTTTTGCACTTTTTTTTCCTTTCACTCCAACACTTTTTAGAATCTCACATAGTAAATTCAGACTCTCCTCGGCCACAGAGTGATTTTTAGGCTGCGACATGAGTCTGCGAGGAGGGTACAAATCCATCTGGTAAACCGAGCCAACGAAAGCGACAAAATAAATAAACGTCTGAAGGAATGTCACAGTCTCTTCTGTCTATAACTGTGAGATTTTCCTTTTCAATCTCAAAGACTGAAAGAGGGAAAAAGAAAAAAAAAAACAGACCTGTGTGTGTCACACACTAAGACAAACTTTTTCAAAGCTATCTTTTCCACGTGATATGAAAGCTATAATAGAGTTGGCATGTTGAAGCTATAATCTGCACAGAGCTTTCAGCCAGGCTGGATATGAAAAAAGAAATGCAGATACAGCAAATCTGTGGGATCATCCGAGGATCATTCCAGTCCTGAGGAGTTCATGTATCACAAAATAACTGAACCTGAAAGTCTGACCTGCTGCTATAAAGTGCACCACGAGGCGTGGCACCGCTCTAATCATCTTTGGGCTGAGCGTCAATTCGTCTGTAAATATACCATTTCTTATTTGGACGAAAGGAATACATCAGTATATCTGTGTGCATGTCAGACGAGACAGAGTAAAGAAATCAAGCAGAATTTCCCCAAACGGATAATTATTTTTCCCCCATTGAAGCTCTCTTTCATGGTATGTTGCCAAGAGGCACAATACGAGTTATTGCTCAATAAATACCAAAGGTTTAATTCGGAGCCAAATGTGTGTCAACGCCTAGCGAGGATGTTGGGCGCTTAACGTGTAGAGCAGTTAAACTGAAAGTTACACCAGAAGAAACATGTTGCAATACTCTTTGGAAATTACATTTCATACTCGAAACGATTTAAATCTTTGGGTGCTACCAAAAAAAAAAAAAAAAAAGTTAAACCTCTTACTCTCTTAAATTACCTATCAAAAAAAACCAAAACATTTTTAACTTAGTCATATAGATGCATCAAAAATATTCAGATTACACTTCTTTGACTCAAGTTTCAAATACAATACATAATTTATGGCTTTATAAGTTAAAACTAAGAAAACGCCTCAATCTACATCAACGTTTCACCCACAATATACAAGTTAAATTAATCGGTTTAAAGCAAATTTACTGTCCACACCACTTTAAGGTAACATATGTGTTACTCTTATCTTGCTACTCAGTGCTTAACTTGCATCTTGATATTGTCGTAGTACAAAAACATGCTCTGCAAAAAAGCCGTAATGAAATACAAACACTATACAAAAGAGGCAGTCTTTTACAAATATTGTGTGTTGAAGCATCCCTTAGCTCGTGGACTAGAATAAAACTGAAATAAAGTCTCATCCACTTGGGCCTAGTAAACCAAAAAAAAAAAAAAATCGTCTTTCTCATTATTGCTGTGAGAATGACTCCCTTTGTAGTGCCTTTGGTCAAAAACACATTCCAGGAAGACAAGTTCATACAAGTCTGGTCTTTTTAAAAAAAAAATCTCAACCTTAATTTCCAAGTAAAAGGTAGAGACAGCTGATGAGAGCTCAAAAATCCCCTTTTTTCACTATAAAAAAAGGTTTTGTGCTTTCAAACCATGACATCAGTTGACTTCCTATCCCTCCTCCGTCCTCCTTCTTCAATATGGCCTCCACACCGCTTCATCCATGCGGCCTCCGGGGTTGAGAACAGTCGGGGAGTTACTGTGGCTCCCGTCGCCGTCCACGCCTCCCTCCGTCTGGCTGGGCAGGTTGGGGTTGACCAGGGAGGTGCCGGTGGAGGCGCTAGTGCAAGGCGGGATCATCCGGGAGGGCGAGCGGTCGCCGCCGGGAACCATGGAGAACTGGTACGAGTTGGACGAGGCGCCGTAGTAGAGATAGGGCGTGCTGCTGGTCTGGAAGGGGCCGCTCTGGCTCTGGGTGGAGCCCGGGTACGGAGGCGGAAGGTAGGTGTGGTAGTGGGCGCTGCCCAGCGACATGGCCGAGGTGACGGGCGGCGTGTAGGTGAAGGTGGCCGGGTAGTGCATGCGGGGGCTGGAGAAGCGGCTCTCCGTCAGAGAGGAGAGGCCCGGGAACTGGCGCTCGAACTGACCGGGGAATGGACTCAGGTCGGATGAACCTGGAAGAAACACACAAATACATCCATTTAAGATAAAGTAAGATAAGATCAGATAAGCTGAGAAGAGGAACGTACATGTTACAGCCACTAGATACGGATGAAGCATGGAAAAATGACAAGAATTACAATAAGACCACAAATAAACATATAATAAAGGTTTCATGAAGACAATGTACAAGGCATGACGAATTTACATCTGTGAATGTAGAGATATGACATGGTGAATATACATATGTTCACATATGACATGGTGAGTTTACATACGGATACATACTGCTATAACATGATGAATTTAGATTAGAAGCTATGACATGGTGAATTTGCATCTGGATATGTAGGTATGACTGGATGAATGTACATATGAATGTGTACAGGTATGATGTGGTGAATTACATCTGGATATGTGAACTGTTATGACATGATGAAATTACATATTTAAGGTATGACACAGTGAATTCACATCTGGATATGTAGAGGCATGACAGGGTGAATTTGCATCTGGATATGTGCAGATATGACATGGTGAATTTACATATGGATATATATACATATGACTTGATGAATTTACACATAAATATGTACAGGTATGACATAGTGAATTACATCTGATATCTACTGTTATAACATGGTGACCTCACATCTGGATATGTAGAGGTATGACATGGTGAACTACATCTGGATATGTAGAGGTATGACATGGTGAACTACATCTGGATATGTAGAGGTATGACATGATACATTCACATCTGGATATGTACTGTTATGACATGGTGAATTACATCTGGATATGTGCAGATATGACATGATGAATTTGCATCTTGATAGGTATTGTTATGACATGATTAATTTAAATCTGGTCATGTATGGTATGACATGGTGAATTTACACATGTACCGTTATGACATGGTGAATTCACATATGGATTTATACATATGACATGATGAATTTACACATGAACATGTGCAGGTATGACATGGTAAGTCACATCTGGATATGTACTGTTATGACATGATGAATTTAAACCTGGATATGTGCAGGTATGGCTTGATGAATTTACACATGTACTGTTATGACATGGTGAATTTACAGGCATGATATGGAGGAGAATGTTCCCACATTTCTGTTATTGCAGCCAAAAACGTCGCTGATACAAAAGACCAGTGTTAACACGATGTTATAACACATGTTAGAGAACACTGTTATACGTTATTGATCGATATGGAAGAGCAGCTACCTGCACAGGTACGCACCAACATTTCTGTTACTGCTGTTATTTAGAATGAATTTCTTCAACATTTTCCGACACCAACGGCACAGATATCAGCGCGAACGCCAAATATTGACATATCCTTTAACCGCTTTGTCAGTTTTGATTATGTGGCTTGGACTCTTCAACTATTTAGCACTTTGTTTTTTAGACTAATTGAATTGAGCAAATAAGCCTCTTGAGAGATGAATCATTCCAAGGCCAGATATGTGTATTATCAAACAGCATTTATCTCTAATACAGCACTTTTTTTTCTCCCGCTCGATAAAGCGCCGAAAGTCCCCTCCCGTACGCATGCATAATGTGTTTACACCTCTGCATATTTATGTGTGCGTCGCCGCATGTTTATGTGTGTGCAACTGTTTATGCATGCAAATGTGTGTGTGCGAATAGTGGAGGGAGGGGGGGGGGTGCAGCGTATGTGTGTGTGTGTGAATACTGTATGCACATAAAAAAAAAAAAAGCAGTTGGGATGAATCAGGAGCTGCACATGTGGAAACACTTTGAGCCGAAACAGTTTCCATGAGATCCATAATGAGGCAGGGCTGAGCTCTGATGTGGCTCCTCTCCTCGCCTCCCATCGGCTCCAGCGTCAGTGTGTATGTGTGTGTCCGCCAGCGAGTGTGCGAGGCAGAAAGAGAGAGAAAAAGAAAAAGAGAGAGAGAGAGAGAGAGAGAGAGAGGGAGAGAGAGGGAGTCGAGAAGGAGTTGCTCCATCTCACCCTTCGTTCCTCTTTTCGCTCTCTCACTAACACGATCCAATAAAGGCACAAAGGCCAAAAAACAAAAAAAAAAAAAAAACGAAAACCACTAACTGGCTGCGGCGAGCTTCGCGCTGGGCGAAGAGTTTAAGGAGAATAGGAGGTCCTCCCCTCCCCTCCCCTCCCGTCTCCTCTCGGTGGTTTAGTCCAGCCATGGCGCTCTTATCATAAATCACCAGGCGTCTTCCGTGTCACCATGTCTGCTGCGAGAGGACAGGGGGTTTGGTGGGGAAGAGGAGGGAGTGTTTATGTGCAGGCGGGGAGGGGAATTGCGAAGCCGGGGGTTTGTCGCTAGCGTCAGATAGCATATGCTGCCAATTAAGGCCTTTTAAACTTCCTCTTTCCACGAGGAGCCGTTTGATTCTAATAGAAATAGTAGGTGATTGGCTCCGTCTCGCTGCGGAGATGCAGCGCGATCAATAAAACGTTGGGTTGTCTGCGATGATGAGCCGCATCGAACTTTCAGAGTTGGACAAACTCCGCAGCATCACTTCCAAGTTAGCAGCGTTTCAACAAGCATCCATATCAGCTTCTGCTCGGTATGTTCTGCGGTGGGATACGGTTACAGAGCGGCCCAGGCGAGGTGTCAACATGATCTCCGGAGATCTGAGAGCCTTAGTCACATCACTTAGGAGGCATTAAGCGCTCGAGGTGCGCGAGTGGGGAGAAGAAAAAAAAAAAAAAGGCGGGAGGTTTTTCTGGTCTTCGTACACGTGTCGCCTTTTGGAGAACAAAAGCCCCGACGAGATGAAAGCTGAAGAAGGGGGGAAAGGACCGAACCAATCAAGGCTGACAAGGCAGCTGGCTGGATTTTTTAAACCCTTTTCTAATGCAGAGTCACACGGCTGCATCGCTTAATCGCTCGGCCCTCCGCTCGGGGCGAGGAGGGAGGCAGGGTGTGTTAGCACAAGGGGGGGAGAGAAAACCGAAAGAAAAAGTAGAAAAAAGTGCTCACATGGCAGCGAGTCAAACAGGTGTACGGGGGAGAGAAACTCGTCTGGCAGCGTGGAGGGGTTTTAAAGGAGCTTTCACGTTAGGAGGGGTAAAAAAACACAGGACAAATTGGAACACAGATGCTGCCGTTACTGCAAACAGACTGGCTAATGCAATTACCCAGAATGCCTTTGGAGAGTGGCGTATCGCTGTAAAGACACTTTATTTGTCAGTCACGAGCCTGTTATTATCCCTGGGCCTGTTATTACCCATACTCCTCTGGGATCAAAGGCTTAGAGCGAGGAGAGGAAAAAAAAAAAAAAAAGAGGAAACAATCGCTTTTTCTTTTTTTCTTTCCTCCGCTGTTTGAAAAACTGTCCTCTGGAGAGACTCTGACAACAACATGCTCCGATTTCCTCGCGTTCAATCCCAGTGTGTGTTTCTGCGTTCTGAGTGTGAAGCTGTGTGAATCATCTGACGGCACGAGGAGGCTGTGGTGGGTTTTTCTAACCTGGCAATCGTCGAGGCACGTCACTGATGGCAGGCAGGCCCGTGCCTCGGCTGGAAGAGAGGGGGGTGGTGGAGTGGACTGAGGGGGACGCCATGGGACTCAGGTAGGATGGATACGTCTGTTCGTATGACCAGGGAGGAGAGGACTGGGACTGACGAGGGTCTGATGGGGAGAAACGGAGCGAGGGAAGGAGAAACAAGAGGTCCAGAAAGAGAGAAGAAAGAAAGAATAATTACCAAGAGGCCTGAAGGCTGCTTCAATATGTTTTTTTGGTGCTGAAATTGGACAATAACATTCACAACAACTCTGTCTTGACATTATTAGCGTGTGCGTTCAGGGGCCAAAGTATCAGTTGGGCGCGTTATGCAACATCCTCCATAATGACACATCTAATGTTTACCTCCGAAGAGAAGATCTTCCTGTTTGCCTTATAAAACACTGAGCTCGCAGCTGAGGCACAGAGAGCCTCGCTGGCACTCGCCCAGGCTGTAAACACACCAGCAGACAACCGCACCGCACTTTATCATTGTGTCTGTGCAGCGGCGAGAGCAGAGCGTGGAGGCTGGTCGAGACGGGATTATGTGTCATATATATATATGTATGTATAGGTACAAGATAAGATCAGGATCTATTAATCCCACAGCGGGAAGTTTTGAAGTAGAAAAATCATCAGCAGAATAATAAAATTGAAGATATAAACAAGAAATATACTGAAGTGCTTTTGGTATTGTCCAGATTCTTCTTTATTTTTTTGCGCACATTCCTTTAAAAGTGGTGCACAGGGTTATCCTATATGTAGAAAGACACTGGGATGTCACAGATTCTTCTATTTGTAGCCCAGGTTTATATATTGAATGTGCAGAGTATTCACAGGTTTAAATGCGCTGATGTTGCACCAGAGTGAAGTATGGCAGTCTGAATGTTTGTGGGAGGAGTAGGCGGAGTGCTGGTTGTAAATATATATAAATATGACATGCAATGCGATGCTCTGCCATAAATTTCGCTTTTACATCAACATCCCTAAGTGGGGCGGAATATTATCAACACGTTTAATGGAGTCCGGTGCACCTCCACCACTCGCTGCAACCAAAAAGAAGCTCAGATTGGAGTCGGCAGCTTCTCGGGCTGAACAGTTAATTGATTTCAAATTGTTTCTATGTGCAGCAACTATCAAAAGCTGCAATTAAGGATCGGCAAAGTGTGGCTATTTACACATGAGTTATATTTAATTTGAGCAGACTGAAGCTTTCAGCGGTTGTTTATACTGTATGTGGTTCAGGTATACACACTGTGGTTTGACTGGCAGGAGCCCAGCGTCACTATTTATTAGCCGCACCTCTTAAAACCTCAAACACGACCGTCACAGGCTTTAAACTGTCATGTCATCTCTGGGAATCTCTGTTGTCACATGTGGTGAAGCTCCATCACACGCTGAAATTCATCACACAGTGAACGACGCACTGAAGCTTGACTGCAAAATGTCATTTTGAAAATCAAATTGCAATATTTTCCTCAAATCATTCAGCCCGATGTCAAGTAAAAATGAAAGCGTAGAAGCTTCGTAAAAGCAGGATTAATAGCAGCGTTGGATTGTGTTCACAGGTTTACACAATAAAGCAGCTGGTGTGTATGTATGCAGATGATATTTATGTGTTATGATGATCTTTCTTATGCTATGTAATGTGTGGGTCAACTGGGGAGAAATACATAGAAGACATAGAAGAGTTAGCTGCATCCTCTGGGATTGTTGTATACAAGAGTGCATGGGAGGAATAGAGAAGTATTGCTAAAAACAATGGCTACAAGGTTGCGATAGCTTAAAATAATGATTACAGAGTTGAGAATTTTGCGCTTTAAAGTGATGGATGGTTGCACTGAAGAGCTACATGAGTTAGGATGTGGTGAAAACAGCTAAACGTAATGGAAAAATGGTTAAAGCCACTAAACGTACTCATGGATACGTGGCTGTTTTTATTGTAAAATCAGTTGAAGACATCCGCAGTGTGACACCTGATGTACATAAAGGGTCATTTAAGTTCACCTGACTGGTCTGTGGATGCGCGTCAGACTGAAAATCATTAAGGCTGCACTTCTGCAAAACGTGCACGGTTCAATCATCTCTACGCTGTTCAACCATCCCTCAAACGATCCGCTAAGCAGCACCCGCCAGAGAGCCACGCCAGGGAATAACTCAGAGCTAAATGACGACGTGTGACGAGCCTCCAGAGGCGATCGGGTGGCAGCGTGAGAGATGGTGTTACCCTCCGAGATGGAGATTGATAAGAGCGACGGGGCGGAGAAAGACAAGACGAGAAGGAGGCCGCGCTGCGACGGGAGTTTCGTGGCTCAAACGCCGGTCCTGGCTCGAGTTGGGGTTTGATATTTCACCTTTATGTTCGGTTCGTGACTCTGCTCGCTTGTTTAATCGGTTCAGGGCACTAAATAAAAGAAGCGTGATGCACATTCTGGATCCGCAGTGAATTCGGGGCTTTTTTTTCTTGGTTATTAAATGAAAAAATAAACATTTCTGACTGCAGATTGGAAATGTAATTCTGAATAATCTGTCTAGAATCAGTTTTGCAGTCCTACTAAGAACATTTTCTTTAATATCATAACACATAATGACATATACAGCCATGAAATCTAATCTTCAAAGCCACGATCCGCGCTCTGTTGTGGCGCACTACGTCAGACGAAACTCTTCGCAAATGTCAAACGGTAATTGTGGTGACTCATTTTGGTTCTTTTTAAAATTACAATTTGGTGTCGTTCAGTTTGACAACTTAATTTTGCAATATGACAAAACAATGTGATCACGTTAGAAAAACAATAATGGGAGTGGAGAGAATATGTAATCGGCAAATTCACGAATTCAGTCTCTGCATCAGTCACGTTTTTCTCGTCTGTATTTGAGTATTGACGGCTTGATTTATTTCTACTCTTTGACACTGGCATTTGTTAATTAATGTTGGCTTCGCTGACCCTCTACATTCCAAGGAGCGCAGCGTCTTAAGGTTAAATTTGCACTCGGTTCTAAGCTCTACGACTGCCTCTAAATATTAACAACTAGATTATGTCCTGTTTGCATGTTTACTATTTGCCCGCTGCTGCTTTGATGTCATAATTGTATTACATTGTGTTTTATAACACTGAACTCCAACAACATGTCCACTGTCCTCCAAATGTCAAACAAATGTCTTGTGACCTTCAGGCTAATCTTGAATTTAATCTGTTTTGGGATTAATGGGTTTTCACCGCAAACCTCAACACTGTCCCTGTGTCTCTTTGGAGTTAACGATGACTAATAGTTAGTTCTCTAACCCAAATACTAGAAACCCTTTCTAACTTTTAACCTCTTTGGTTATGCAAATAATTTTGTTGCTTATTGAACCAGATCCTCGACCTCATTCTGAAAACTGACAGAATCAAATATTACCAGGTGTTAGCCTAAACTTTTAAAGGTTTGTCTCTTTATTTGGCAAATATCTTCCTTTGCTTTAGAGCTGAAACATATACAGGAAGTGTTCCTTAAAGATTAGGAAATGTGCTAGAGTTATGATGTAAGTCCACTTGTTTAGTCAATCTGATATGTAAAGCCAAAAGTTATTTTCATTTTGGATGGTTCAGGGTTGTATCGTGTGCGACGCCTCTCCCACACAAGGCCACACAAAGTGACTTTTAACCACCTGCAAAGGTTGTGCAGCGGAAGACGATTTCCAACAACCCACGTGATGCTTTTCATGATGCTAACTTGTGCTTCCTCACGTTGACTCTCCTCAACCTTCCAGTTACACCTTGAGGAGACCAGGAGAGGAGCTCAGGGAAAAGAATCATAGGTGTGTCCTATGAAAGTGTTTTTTGTGGCGTGATAAACAAATGCTGCACCTTCAGGTGTCACTTTCATTTCATCTAACAGGCTGTGCGGCACACCTTAAACGTCTGATGCTATGGAACCGTGGTTTTTCTCATTTGGCTGCTCACGTTGTTTCACATCCTCGTTGGGAGGAGCTAAGACGTGAGTATGGAAATACATTAGCACAATGAAAAGCACCTCGTGTAGTCCCAGAGGTCAAGATGGGCTCGTGGGCTCACAGAGACTCTGTGTGGATCTTTGTGCTGCTCCTCCATCGCCTCCATCATTGAGCTCACCTGTTATCTGCGTCTGTCCCTGCGGGTTGAAGGAGTTGGCCGCCGTGTTGAGAGTCGGCCGGGGGGCTTGGGTTGGCACCGAGACCCTCACCCTCATCCTCTCGAGCTCGCTGAGGCGGTCCGAGAACAGGCCGGTCTTGGGGGGATCCTCGAGCTTTTGACGATGCCCTGCAGGAGAAACGATAAAAACCCAATCTTATTCAACCATTACAGTCGCCATGTTGCATGCAAACCATATTTTCGTCGCCGCAACATCAAACGCGCTCCGTGGATGTTTGCTGTTCTCTTGGCATGAAGTTTGCCAGTTACCAACGCAGTGACTCAGTTCTTCTGTCTAACTCAGTAAACAGTCTGAGCTCCAAAACAAAGACGAGGCTTTCTGGAAAGGGATCCTACATCCTGCTAATTAACTTATTAGGCAAATATCTCCCATCACCTTCCACGAGAGAAAAAGAAAGATGTACTCAATAGATAGAGAGAGAAGCTGCATGTATGTTTGGTTTTCTAACCTGAGGCTTCTTCCTCAGGTAAACAGCAGCTCTCACGCCATTCCTCCATTATCCCCACAGGAGTCGTAAACCGATGCCAAATATGTTATGCTCGCTTTTTTTTGTTTTCATTCCTGCATTCCTTTGCCGATAATTTTACACCCTTTATATCCCTGATTCTATTCTCATCGCTCTCTCAGGCCGGTAACTCGACACTCCTCCAATCCACCAACACATGCAAACACGTAAACTGCGCACACAAACACAACACAGTGTGTGTCTGTCTGAGCCCATCCCGGCAGCCTTATCGGCCCCGCGGAGGGAACCAAATCAAAACCTGCCCGAAGGCCCCAGGTGGAGGCTATAGTTTAGCAAAGGTGGAGCAGAAATATAGGCCTGTGCACACACAGTTCTTTTCAACACTGACATAGGACTGTGTCAGTGCGTCTGTCTGGTCTTGCACTAGTTCCCCTGTAAAGGCGGTAAAGTAAATATCAAACAGAGGAGAGTAGAAACTCCTGCTGTGCTTGGCAGCGCTCCAGCTGGCTCGGGCAGAAATAGCGAGCTACTTCAGAATCCTGCCCAACCTGCCTGCTGCCTGGGCTGGGAACAAAGGCCTGGCACTACACCTAGAACACTGGGTGTCGAGAGGACGAGAGAGAAGAGAGGGAGAAAAAAAAAAAAACCCCTTTGTAAAGGATCGTCATTTGAAAGCATCATTATAAAGATCAAAGACAGTCTCCTAGCGTAACCTGTGCATTAACAACATCCCCGCTGAGGAGCCCTGTTGCATGTCATGCCCGCTTTTCTGTCTTTTCTGCAAACAAATGCAACATGACAAAGAGAAAAATTCTTCGCAAACCGCTCGTAACGGCTTAAAATGTCTCCACCGCTGCAACAAAACATTATTTCTGCATGCTATTGCAAACCATCTGACTCTTCACAACAAATTCATTTACTCTGGGCGCAACTGTTTGGAATTTTAATACCAAAACACTGCTGCCATGAAATGAGACTCGAGAATGGCGGCAGTGAAAAGTCAGCCCGTGACAGTCAGACAGACCATGATTTTTTATTACAATGACGTTACCCGACTGGCATCATCCGGCTCAGAATAAACAGACAATCTCATCATCGGCTTCGTCTAGTTGCCTTTGAAATGGAGAATAATATTAGCTACTTAAAAAAAACCTCAGCTTATTGAGGACTTTTCGAACATAATTCACGTCCACATTTCATTAATAACGTTTCCCCCCGTCGCTCCTTGCGGATAATTTGTGCCTCTCGTTGGCGTTTCTCGTCTCTCTCTCTCCGCGCGAGCTTTGCCCAGTCAATCATAGCGTTTCCATTTTCAACAGACCGAATTTCTATTCTAAAAAAGCCTCGGGACACAGTGCAGGCTTTGTGCGCGGGCTGTCTCCTAGTGATGGGAATAAATAGCAATGGGAGACCGAGGGGAGACAGACATAAGTGAGGAGGAGGCTCGCGGAGAAGAAGAGACCCCGATGACCAGTAAATTAAAAGCGCTGGATGATCCAGTCAGGCGACACAGGCCGAGTGCTGAATGGTGAAATAGTTAGAGAGGATTTCAACATCTTGGAGGAGGATCCAAAAATACATTCTTAGATGTATGTTTAAGAAGTTCGGATACTGGTAGCTTAAATTCACAACATCAGGAACTCGCAGCTTCCATCCCGGGCCGCCGTATTGTTCAGAAAATCTATGTATACAAAGTGTTTTTTCTCGTATAGGAATGCAGCAAGTCAACCACCACATTAAGGTCCAATTTACACTCCAAACAGCCAGACCTCAAGTCCATTAGTTTAGCAGGGCCTGACAGTAAATACAGTTTTTCATGAGTTAATTACACCTTTTAGAGGACAACTGTTGCCAAACACAAGACGTCTCAGCTGTTTTATCGGAACCCTAGCAGGGCGGAGGAATGAGCCGGGGGTATTTAAAGGAGCGGGAAAGGCGGATGATTTCACTGCCGTAGGGAAAGTCCCTGAGATTCCCATCATCCCTGTGAAAACAGCGGAGATTTTCGATAGCGCCTGCCACTTCCCTGCCCAGCCAGCGGCCGGAAACATGGACAGATTCAGACCAGATGTGAGCAACTTGCACAGAAACGCACAAAAAAAAAAAAAAAGAAATAAAAGGACGTATGGAAACACGGTCCTGCACACGCAATCATGCACACTGCCCCCCTCGCATACACACTCCAAAAAAAAAGATTAATAATGATTAGATAACACCTCTATAGATAGCATCTCAAATCACACAGTTGCCACTGATCCTAGAATAGTATTATTTCAGCCGTCCCAGAGACATAAGTCTGGATTCAGCTCACCCCTGCTGATCTGATAACAGTTAGTAAGAGCAAGTAGGTAAACAGAATATAAGTCCTCTGTAATTAATGGCAGCATTAGATTGAATCTGAGCTCTGAGCGCCGAGATCTTAGACGAACGCTTCCCCTCACATGTCCCGGCTGAAAATATCCCTCAAATACCCCATAGTTCTCCTCGCGAAGGAATGATTTGTGTCGGGATTTCACATGACAAGGGTATCAATGTACTTTTTAAAATCTTAAGTGGCTCCAAAATATTATGAATAGTGAATGAATTTTGTGATATATGCGTATTCGCTTTCTTTCCAAGAGTCGGACGGGAAGATTTATACCTCGCTCACGTCTGCACGGCAAAAAAATTAACATACTAAATACGAAGCTGCAGCCAGCGACCGGCTGAGTAAGCTTAGCAAAGACAAGGAACAGGGGAGGGCAGCTTCTAGCTTGTCTAAAGTTAATATTATTCAGATTTCGTACAGGATGCAGGGGTTAGAGCTGTCGCCTCATAGATGGAAGGTTCGAAGCGGCTGCTCGGTCTCGGGGTTTGCATGAGCGCTGGATGCTCCGAGTTCTTCATAACAAAGAGAGTAAGTACTGGTTCTAAATTGGCCATAAGCACGACTGTGAACGTGAAAGACCGTGGCTGCTGTCCAAGCTGCATACAGTTTATCATTTTAAGTACTGTTTACAGCTGCCCCAGCGAAGTATGTACAGTTCCATGCAATATGCAATTGGAACATTCTACTCCATCAAAATATTGTGCTTTCAGTGTCGACTGTCGCAGCCTGTTGTGCGAAACACACTGGAGCATGACAGTGATGCAGCTACGCAGGACTGTGAGTTGGAATGGCCAGAAAAAAACATGCTGGCTTGCAAATTGCAAAATTCGGTCGAATATCGGAGGACGTCCCGGGATACTACATTTGACACACGATGCATTAAGACACACTACATGTTGTTCTGGCTTACTATATACTGTGGTAGTATGGATATTGGAACGCTGTCTCTTTGTGTTAGTCTTGGACTGGGTAACTCTCCAGGGTCCCCACTGTCTCCCAAAAATCATGTTTCAATAAAAACTAAAGCGCATTCTCAATTACGTTTTGAGGGATTTCCTGTCAGGTTGTTTGTGACGTATGAAAAACGCAACACATCTTTGTCATGTATTTTACTCCTCTACTGTTGCTCCTTCTCATCCAGTTAGGTTGGGTGGGTAACCCAGAAAATGGTGAAAAAGCTTTAAATATGTAGAATATGTAGAAAGAAAGGAAGGTACTTTGATGCAAAACCATGATATTTTTCCAAACCTAACCAAGTAGTTTTGGTGCCTTAACTCAATCTTTTACATGTTGCTGTTATTGTGAAAGTGTCCATAACCCTTAACCCTGTTCAGGACTTTTGGGGTCTTTTGGACTCCAGGCCATTTGTTTTAGGTGACAGGTATTGTTTTTATTCTTTTAAATATAAAAAGAGGGGCATTTGGAACCAAAAATACATCAACTTCTCAGAAAATGTATTTAACATAGTTTAGAAATCTATCATGAATACCAACAAATATTTTGCACATATTCTTTCTTGGGGTCTAATGGACCTTTCATGGCAACATGAAAGTCCTGAATAGGGTTAAGAATACATGGTGTGGTGGTTGACCGACCCTTCCATCCTCCCCAGCAGCCTCCTTACTCTTTCAAACTGAGAGCCTTTACTACCTCCACGTAAGCGTTAAAATATGTTTGTTTCATGAGAAAATCATGTTTTCTTAAGAATGAGGATGAGGTTTAGTTGTAGAAGAGCATTGTTTTGTGGAGACAGGGTTTACCCCCTGCAATTCCCAACAAGCTAAAGCAGGTTTATCTAATGAATGGATTTTCTACAGATTAAACAAAAAAAAGTTAATTAGTCAGTTTAGAGATGCTGCTATTTGCATTTTGTAACTATTGCACAGAGCCCCACTCTCTGTTTCCAGTCTTCATGCTAAGCTAAGCTAACATCTCCCGTCCGCAGCTTCCTTTCAACCTGAGAGTGACAAATATAAAAGCATTTCCAGACGGTTTGATCTGCTCATCCAGAGATCCTCCCCCTTCTTCGTCCTCAAACACATCGACAGACGCATCAGTAGGAAACTCTCCTGCCTGACTAAGTAACATGTGAGGAAAATGCCGAGCGCCAGAAAAAATCCTGAATAAATGGGATAATTTATAAATTTGCTGTCACGTCATGCCCTCTAAGCCCTTCAGTCTGGTTTATGATCACCGAGTGGATGAATGTATCTTTGGGGCTGATTCAGAAACAACCCCCCCCTACCCCCCACCACCCGGTCCTCCTCCAACAT